GGTTAGACAGTCATATATTTGCAACGATATAAAGAAACTCAATTTGAAAGATCGTAATATGTAAAACAACATAAACCGAAATATGACATTTCGTGGCTCGACTTGTCTAATTGTTAGACTGCTTCACACAAGAATCCGTGATTATTAACTGCTAAAAAGTGTGAATTACACTCACAAAATGAAGTAAGTATATATACAAACCTTATTCCAACTACCACTTTGAAGTCCTCTTCAAGTGATCTATTGATATACTTTTGAAAGTCAAAATTAGCTTGGCTTTGAGGTGCAAGGTGAGCCTGATCAGATCAAATGAAAACAAATTAAATTAATTCAATTAATTGGATTAAATATTTTTTTCTAAATCATTTTAATATTTTTATTAATTACCATAATAAATCCATGGCGTAGAGTCAAATAATCCACTCTTGGAACTGATCTAACGAATTGTCTAAAGAAACAAACCTGAAAAAAAAAAAAAGGATAAAAAAAATTTATGGGATAATTTTAATTTCTCTCAGAAAATATATGCATTTGGCAAAATTAATTCATTGTCACAAATGAGTTAATTAATATGGAGAATTAAAAGTCAAAGGGTTTTAAATTATGAGGTAACATTCTAACAAAACATTGAATTAAGGCAAAATAGGTGTAAGGCACAAATCAATTTAGAATGCTACATATAGGTCAATATAAATTGTATGAGGAAGACCCAATCCCAAAATAAATTATTGATACATAAATTATAAATTATATATTCAAATTGTATTTATTTTTAGGGAAATGCTACAGTCCCGTTACGAAACCATTCTGTCGGGATTTGTAATCGTTATATCATCGTGTAATCGTCGTGGATAGGTGATGTAACAGTTATAAACCCTTGAGAAAAATGGTTACGCAACGAAACCGTAGAATCTCTCCTATTTTTAATTGACCCATTAATCCAATTAGTAAAAAAGTCAACAATTTTGGTCTCTTGTGAAAATCAAAACACAGTTGTAATGCCGGGAAAATTGGACGTGGAGCGTCATGATACTTTTAAATCTAATCATATGTGCTTATATATACCAATACTATCTAAGTCAAACATTTTGAAAAATATATTAGTGTATAAATTTATTTTAACCACAAATGATTATATTGATTATTATAATGTTCATGTGGACAACACCAAATTTGCAATTTTATTCTGATGCCCAATATGTGAGTTTAATTAAAAACAAGAAAACAACACACACACACACACACATAATTATTTCTTGTGTGATTTGGTTTAATTGTTAGTCGAGTTGCTCAATCGTATTTTTAAATAAAAAATTCATACTTCTATTATGATATGACATTATTTTGTTAATGTTGTTTAATAGAATCATATCTATTGGGGCAAAAAAAAAAAAACAATGTTTGTCTAACCGTTAAATCTGTATAACAACAATTTATTACAAAATTGAAGATTAAAAATCATGTAGCCTTCACATTTTAAATTGATTGCAAATTCCAAATGCCTATTAGTAAGTTTTTTTTTTTTTTTTTTTTATGTGTAATGATTGGCAACAATTTAATGATTTATATTAATCAATAGTTTCTAAATTTAGTTAATACTATAAATCTATGCATAATTTATGTTGGAATTAATTAGGAACTCACAATCCATAATAGAACAGGAGTTTTGCTCCAAAAGTTCAAGTGCCTCCTCCCGAACGAAGTTTCCCTTGCAAACCTAAACCTCTCAGGATCTGCCACGTATACACCAATTCATTTTTTTTATCACGTGTAAAATCACATTTGTAAATTAATTAGTATATATAACAATTATCAATATGGCCTAATTAAATTGCTATATAATTAACTTCTGAGAGATTCAACGGTCCCGTTACAGAATCATTCCTTTCAGGATTTGTAACCGTTAGATCAACTATTCACGACGGTTACAAATCCCGACAGAATAGTTCCGTAACGAGATTGTAACATTTTCCCTTAACATCTATAGTGAATTGATAAAGGCTATGTTTGGTAAAATTAGCTGATAAGCTAGCTGATAGCTGATAAGCTAGCTTATAGCTTATATGTAATTTTTGAGCTTATAGCTTATGACTTATAGCTAAAAAGCTAGCTTATATGATAAAAGGTGTTTGGTAAATTAGCTGATAAGCTAGCTGAAATAAAAAATTTAACTAGCTTATTTGAAAAGCTACCTAAAGTAGCTTATGAAATAAGCTCGAGCTTTTTAAAAAAGCTCGTCCTACCAAACGAGACTTATTTTAAACAGAGAGTTTATAAGCTAACCAAATAAGCTAAAAGCTAGCTTATTTGGCTTAAAACATACCCAAAGTGATTAACGTAATTTTAATGACGAAATTAACCCACATACCGTTTGAAAACTGGTACTCAGTTGTTCTTGTTTCCTTTTCCCATGATTTCCATCTTCTCATCTAAAACAGATTAACAAAATAATTAGACATAATCATATCTAATCCTAAACTTCTATTAAAGTTAATTACACGGTTGAAATTTTGGTCTTCTCCTCTTTGAATTTGAATTCCAATTAGATCATTGACCAATTTTTTTTTTTTTTTTTTACTTCATTCATAAGAAAAAAAAAATACTGAAAAACTTTGAAAATTTCTCTCTTGGGTGTATCTTAATTTTCCAATTACGATTTCATGCATATTAAATTTTCTAATTATGTGCTTGCAAATTGATTGGCTTGTCAATATACACTTTATATTAAAAGAAAAGTTTCGAAAATAAGTCTCGTATTTTCGATGCATCTAAAATAGTTCACCGAAATTCAATTAATCAATCGTAACCAATTCGAGAAATTTTTGGTTGAACATTCGAATTCAGGCCATAAATTGATACAATATGTATCAGTATACCATTGATCAATTTTAAAATTTAAATCAAGTGGAAAAAAAAAAATACTTTTCATATACCTAATAATTATAAGTGTAAAGTTACTTGTGAAATTCTCCCTAAGTTTGATTGTGACACACTCTATTGATTCACCTATAGCTATAGGAAAAACCTAATAAAATAAGCAAATGCAAAAATAGCATTTATATACTTAATTTGGAGAAATTAATTAATTAATTAATTAATTAATTAATTAAATAGAGGGCACAAATATATATATATATATAGTTACCTTAGCTCTACCCAATGCCATGGTGAGAATGCAGTAAAGGACATGAAAAACGGCCAAAACAAATATGAATATATGTAG